AAAATTATAAGTTTTAAAGATAAAATATAATGATGAATCGATGTTTTTTTTGCTAAACATAAGTATTGTTTTATTAGATGTGCATACTTCGTTTAATAAGGATTTGAACTTTGATTCATCATGTAATTATGAATAGAAATATTAAAATATCACAAAGACAGAACAATCAAAGAGAAAACAAGACTATGCACACATGATGGTGGCCGCCATACACTGCAGGCAGAGCTATCAACTTTGGCAAAAAAAATATCTCAATCCCAGCTAGCTAGCAATCTAATTAATTGAAAGAGAATTATCGCTGGTAAAAAAATAATTGAAGGGATTTATCATTTATCTCAACATCTGAGAGAGATTAAAGTCTCCCGTTGATGATAAAGTATACTCCTTGTACCTCATTAAATAAAATTATATTTTTATTTTGTTTCAGTAGATATGGAATGGATCATCATGATTTCTTTTGTAAAAAAAATTTATTGTATTATTGTTTGAATACGATGATTTATTTTATTTTATTGAAAATAAATATACAACAATTATCTCATTGTGATTACTGTTGTAGTTTGCTCCAGTCATTATTATTTTATTTGGAGAGATTACTATGAGATCTCAAGAAAAAATACACTTTTTTTCGGTTCCTTTAAAAGTAATAAGTATGTAAGGAATCAATAATGTACCTTTTTTCAAATATACTACAAAAGATAAACGAGGGAAAGAAATAATGAGGAAAAAGAGAGAAAAAGTCTGAGAAAAGGATGATGCATTTAATTATGACTACATATAAAAATATATTTAATATTAAGATAATTTCAAACTGAATCATATATGAAAAGATTGGATTAACTCAAAATTTTAAATAACTAAATATTATAAAAAACTTAAAAAATAATTAATAAAAAGTCCTAATAACAAGTGGGTAATATAATTGTTTTTCCCAGACACTTGCTGTCATTCAGTGGCTATGCGACTTAGATTGTTTTTTTTGGTGGTATTCCATCATAATTTTCCCTTGCTATTTTCATGCTACGTATGAAGTGACGTCTAATTTGCAGCTACGGTGGACGAGTCTTCAGTGTATTGGTCCACAGAGGACATTTCGGTTGTGTTTTTAAAAAGCTGTGGTCCCTCCCCATTATCAACAACATGACCAAGACAACCAACAAAGGTCAAGGCTTAGGTTTGGAACCACATTGAGAAGTGTTTATAAGCACATTTTATGTAAGTTAAATTTTTTTTTTAATATACTTATCTCATATTTTATAAATTATGATTAAAAAAGTACTTATAAGTTATTCTAAATAATTACTTTATTGACACCCTATATCTTTTCTTATAGAGAAATTTCTTAGTTCTATGTTCCATGTTGTCAAATAAGAATGGAGGTGTGTGGGAGAAAATGTTTTAAATTGTTCATGTTAAAAACAAAAAAAAACAACCACCCTAGAACTTTTCATGGGGTGTTACTTTTTTATTCTCTCTTGTACTCTCCTTGCTTCATAGATAAGAATATTTTTGATAAAACTTATAATTTTTGTTATTTTTAACTAATTTTTTTATTTTATCCAATTTGATCATATGTTTCTTATAAAAGGAGATGGGGGAGTAAATGGTAATTATATTTTTTGATATTTTGTTCATAGAAAAAAAAACTGAATCCAACTGGCCGGTTCAATCGGAAAAGCAGTGAACTACCTAGTGATTCGGTTTGGTTTTCTTATTAAACCGGTTAAACTAGTATGAATCGGTGTTGAACCGATCTGGATAATTATGTTAGTATTCATCTTATTTTTCTCATTTAGTTCTTAATATGTCAGTTATTATAGATTTAAATAAATTTTAATGATAATTTTGATATCAATGATTATTAATTGTAGTTATTAATGAATCTTAAAGATTAAAATTCTTAATACTATTATACTTTGTTATTGTTATAAACAAACTATTGTTATATTTTCTTGTATTTTTTTATTAGTGATTATTAATGTTGTTATATTTTTTTATTTTTAATTAAATTATATTATTTTAATATGATTGTTTGACTTTGACTTGACCCAGGTCTGATCAACTTATCTTTCAATTACTATCTCAACTGATTTAGTATCCAATTTGGTTTTTTATTCCTTCATTTTGTCAGTTGTCACTTAAGGGCGTTGAAATAAATACATTTTCTAATCTTAAATTCAATTATTTACGCTTGAGCACTTGAGTAGCTTCTCAATCCCATCTTGTCTGTGGATAAATTTCTAATCCAGTGGGTCCACCACAGTGGATTTTTGGCCAAAGATGTTTCTTCGACTACGAGTAGTGCATAAACAAATGGAAGAATTATAAACAAATCTAAAAAAAATAATTACCAAAAAAATCTTAATAATATGTGATTGTCATTTTTTTTCTTGGCAGGAAACATATTTCCTCCAGACATGTTGTGAAGGAGGCATCAATTTATAAGTAACTTATATGTTCTGCAACAATAATAATTTCAGTTTTATCAGATGATACGTAACATAGTTGATTGGCTTGGAACATAAATAGTTTGTAACCCTAGCTTGGACCCCAAAAAAAAAAAGAAAAGAAAAGATTCCAAGTGGTCCCCTAAGATATTTTTAGTCAAAAAGCTGTGGTCCTTTACCATTAGATGACACTATTGAAATTTGAAACATAAAACAGAGACAAGGATAGCTTCTCAGCCACTTACTATTTCCCTCACAATTATTTGCTCTTTCATAAAGCAATTGGACCTGGTCAAAATTTTGGTAGTAAAATAAGATTAGAGAACTACTGAAAGATTTAAGATCAACTTTATTATAAAATTTAATCGTGATTTGTTTTGTGTTTAAAAAAGAAAGCTGACAGTGACAGAAGAATTAAAGGTGATATTTTCCTTCACGTATTTTTATTAAAATAAACAAAAGATTATTAAGTCGAAAAAAAATCTTTTAAGTACTCCGAAGGTGCTTCATAATTATATTTATAATATTTTTCTCTTTTATATATTTTCTACATCATACACTTAATTGTATGAAAATTATAAATTATAAATATAAATATGTCTAAATTAAACCTTTTTTTCCCAGTCAAGAAAATGGATTTTTACAACCACTCAACAGTAAAATAAAACATTACTCCCAATAAAACAACAATCTTTCTCACAAGGATGTTTTCTAAATATAGGAAATAAATCCTTTTTGTCTGAAATTTGAAATTCATTTTTTTACATTTATTCCATTAAATATATGCCATTTATTATCTCTTTAAAATAAATTTTCATTCATTATCTCTTATATACTTTCTTTACAAAAAAAAAAAAACTCCTTTCAGTCCTTTGGTGCTAATTATAGGGATAAGAGAGGGGACATTTTTTGGTTGTATTTCTAGGATATTGAGAGAAATTTTATGAATAGGTATACAATTTTACCCTTTATCTATTACTGTATTGACTTAATTTATATGATGTATAATATATATTAAATAAAAACAAAGTTAAAAAGTTATTAAATTTTAAATAAGAGTTAATAAAGTTTAAGGTTTTTCTCAGTTCATGTGAAACATATTAAAATTAAAACTGACTTATAAATAGAACCAGAGGAGTAATCAAAAACATACTTCCTCCAATCTTATACATAAGCTTCACATAACCGAATCACGTTTAATGACATAGCAATTAAAATTGGTTTAAAATAATAAACAGGTCAAAAATGTATTTTTTTCCCTCAAATTTGTCTTTATTTATTAAGGGAGTAAATGAAAAAAGCAATAAATAAAAAATGATAAAAGATAATATATTAGATAATATTAATGAGACAGAGGGAGTACTAAATACCACTCTATTCTTTATTATACGTCACTTGTATCTCAAAAGTTTGTTTCAAAATATAAGTTATTTGTAGTACAATTAATGATTTTTTTCCAATTTTACTCCTATTAATTTAATAAAAAATTAATTAATATCATTTCCTATGCAATCCATCCCCTCCCTCTCTCTCAACTTTTAATAAATGTAAATATGAAAAAAACTGATTAATTTAATGCATTTTTTAGTTTGCGGGTTTGAGATACAAATGACTTATAATAAAAAACAGAATGGTATAGTCAACTAGAGTTAAAATAGAAAAAAATAAATAAATATTTAGACAACTTATTTTGGACAAGACCTCTATCGAAAAGTGAACTTACACATTTATTGCTTTTACTAAATTTGACTAACATTTTAAAGTTCGTGATTTTGATAGCTGTTTTGCAGAAGGAGCATTAAATACACCACATACTAACTTTTTTTTGTTTTTGACCGGACACATACTAGCTGATCAAATGTTAAATCCCACCAAATAGTTAAGTTACCATATGTCAACTCATACCAAACCATTTGGACTTTGAACCCCCAGGGGGGTGTTCTCAAAAATAAACGTCATCTGTAGAAAAAAAGAAAAGAAAAAGTTTACTATTGTGAAAATAGACGCAAAAGTAATAAATTAAGGTTATTGGCTTAAATGAGAAGAACGTAATATAGAATACACAGATACGCATTAAGATTAATGATTCAAAACCTTTTTAATAATATATATACACAAGTCAATAAATATATATAAAACTCTTTGGTTGAATACTTTGTTTTGGTTCTTTATATAAAAACATACTTGTTTTTTAAAAATATCTAAGTAAATATTAGGGTTAATCGTTAAAGAATACATAATTATTACTAGGAAATATTTTAATTGATTTTCTTTATTCTTGTGATTTGGTTAAAATGATGAAGTATAATCACAAAATGAAGGCACAAAATGCTTAATTGGGATAATAGTCAGGGCAACACACACACACATATACTCCTTCTATGCTTATTATAAGAAATAGGAACTAATTTACACACATCAATCATACACATTAAAACTATGTCTTAGCTTATAAAAAGTATTAAGAATTTCTTTCAGAAGGACCCCTATGATAAGGACTATATATATATATAGAAGCCCAACACAGTCTCAAACTAGCGGGAAGAATCAAAATCTCAAACACTCCATCCAGAAAAATACGTACATTTACAAATAGCTATGGTTTCTCCAAGGCTGATTTCTCCTCTCTTCTTCTTTCTGATCCTCAACCTAACCCTAATATCTCATCACGGCACCAATGCCCAGCAAAACTTCTTGAAATTCTTCTGCGGTAACAGCACTGTCGACGATGATACCACCAATAGTACCTTCAAAACCAACTTAAAATCCCTTTTATTTAACATCTCTTCCGACACAAACATCGACTATGGCTTCTACAACTTTTCCTCCGGCCCAAACTCCGACAAAGTCAACGTTATTGGTCTATGCCGAGGAGATGTTAAGGTACAAGATTGTCGCAGTTGTCTCACAGATTCAAGAGTTGTTCTTCTCCAAGTTTGTGCCCCTAATGTTAGAGAAGCAATCGGGTGGTACGATAACTGCTTTCTCCGATACTCCAACCGAACCATATTCGGCGTCATGCAAACACAGCCATATTTCTATCTGTGGAACACACAGGACGCGTTGCAGAAGGACCAGTTCAAGTTTGTGGTGACAGCATTGATGAAGTTCTTGAGAGAGAAAGCTGCTTCCGGCGACTCTGTCCGGAAATTTGCGGCGGCGAACGCGACGGGACCGAGCAATCAAACGATATACGGTCTTGCACAGTGCACACCGGACTTCTCGAGCAAGGATTGCAATAATTGCTTGAATGGGGCAATCTCTGAAATCCCGCAATGTTGCGATGGAATGAAAGGTGGAAGAGTGGTAAGACCCAGCTGCAACATTAGATATGAAACCTACAGTTTCTTCGATCCTGCTGCTTCACAATCTTTCACATCACCGCCGTTGCCACAGTCTCCTCCGGCAGTTCTTGATTACGTACCGAAACAAGGTGCGTAGATATTTATATGAAAAATCACTTAACAGTTCACTCAAAAAAAATATCACTTAACAGTGCTCTCCAATTCTAAATACAAAACTTATTTTATAATGTAATTTGTATTACAAAATAGTTTATATGTCTAGGACATGACGAGTACGATGTAAATAATCTAATCAATTAAATGAGTAGTATGCAACTGCTGTCATTGTCTTGTATATCATAGGCTGTTATTACAAACTGCTCACTTGAGTTGAGGCATGAGCTCCGTTTTGTGAACCGCCTCCTAGCTACCCGTTGATTTTGGGGTTCTTTTCAAAAAAAATTTTAGTTTCTTTTTATCATTAGATTTTACCTAAAATGAATGACATTTTGATGTCTTATTTATAAAAAATGGTCTAGTTTTTATTTTTTTAATGATTTTTTTAAAGATTTAATACTTTAAGTTAAAAAATAAATCGAACCATTTAGCGTATTAGTCTTAAAAAATATAAAAAAATTAAAAATTAAACTATTTTTTTATAAATAAGATACCAAAATGCATGTAAAATCTAATAATAAAAAAAAGCTCACAAAAAATATTTGGGAAAAATTCTAAAATTAAGATGTAGCTGACTTTCTATTGATTAAATTGTGTGTGTGATTGAGGATAAAAGGTCTCTTATGCCCACTCTATATGCAATAAGCTTACACACACACATATATCACTGATCATTAGATTTTTTATAAAATAAGTTACCAATATGAAATGATGTAATTTTGGGCTTTTTATAATTTTTTAAAAATCAAAACTGCATTTTTTTAAAGTATTTTTCTTCCAAAAATCATAAATAAAAATTCAAAAATGTATTATTTCATATTTATAACATATCAAAATGTTTTTGATTTCATATATAATCTAATGATCAATAAGAAAAGGAAATGTAACCCAGAGTTGTTTTGAGCAGGAAAGTGCAACTCACCCCGAGCTATAATTGCCGTGGGAGTGCCAATTATTGTGTTGTTGGCAGTGCTCATCTTTGTGGGCCTACTTAAAGCCAGGAGAGCCAAAAATATCGCAACTAATAGGTCAACAAATATTTCATGTTCTGGTGAGTTCTATACTTATTTAATTTATTTTGTATATGTACTTTTCTCCCTTAATTTAATTGTTAGGGGGTAAAAAAAGTAATTTTGCCACAACATCTATATATATCCTTTTTATTTTGCAGAAATAATAAAATAAAGAGTAAAATACATTAACTATCCTTTTATTTTACTTAAATTATAGAAACCTCCTTTCTATTTTGAAAACGTACATGAACTTCCTTTCAAATTAAAATGTATGTTACACAAACCTCTCTTATGTTTTTAATATTCAATTTCCATCCATTCAACCGTTAGTTGACCGTTAAGTTTGACTTTTAAATTTTTATTTTGACCAAAATATCCATCTTTAACATAAATGTTATTTAGACATTTATATGTATAAAAAAAAATTTTGATCCAACAAAAAATAATTATAATACATGTATTTTCAAAATTTTTAATATGTTATAATTTCAATTATATTATAGAATTATACATTTTTAGTTCCTCATGAAATATTGAAAATTAAGATTTTTTTTTAAATGGCTAGAAAATATTTTGAATGCTTATTTTCTTATTACACAATATAAATTATGTGAGTTCAGAAACTTATATAAATCATTTAAATTTTTGCATTAACTAAATTACTCAATTTTTTGGCCCAATATGATAAAAACATTAAACAAACAACAATTTTCAAAAATAAAAAAATAAAATTGAGGCAAAGGAGAAAATCTTAAATTCTTCCATATAGTTTTAACCAAGATTTTGAGATTTAGTATTATGAAGGGTAATTTAGTAAATAGAAAGTATTTCAATATAAATTTGAATTTAAAAAACATCTTTTAAAAATATTCTTAATGGAGTTAACAGTTTGGATTTAAATGTATGTTTTCAAAATAGAAGGGAGGTTTGTGTAATTAATATTAAATAAAAGGGAGATTATAGTATTTTACTCTAAAATAAATTGGAACGAAGCAGACACAAGTGAATATAATGCAAGAGGTCCCAAGAATTTATATTATATTTACGTGTTAAATTTAATAACTTTTATATTTATAAGTAAATTTTTGGAAAAATGACAAACAAAGACTCTTGAATTACCAAAATTATAAGGAAGTCACCTGAATAAGCAAGATTACCATGAGGGACCAGATCTCATATTGTAAATATGAAATTTTGGGTGTAATGTCTGAAATACCCCTCAGCCAAATGACGAGTTGACTATAGAAAATGATAAGTTTACTTTAATGAATGACAACTTCAATAGACTAAATCATAACTTAGTTGAGGGTATGCCAAATGACAAGTTGACTATTGGAAATAACAAGTTCACTTTAGCGAATAACAACTTTAGTAGACCAAATCACAATTTGACTGAGGGGCATTTAAGATATTTCACTAAGATTTCATATTTACAATATAGGATCGGGTCCCTCATGGTAATTTTACTTACTCAGATGACCTCCTTATAATTTTGATAATTCAAAGGTTTTTATTTGTCATTTTTCTTAAAATTTTTCTGGGTTGAGTTCATAAAAGCCCAATAACAAGGGGCTACCACGAAAACCCAAATCCGTTTGGGCTAAAACTATTTATATTTGCCCCAGCCTGGCCTTAGCTGGGCTACCGAGGCCATTTCAATGGGGCCAACATTCACACCATAAAAGTACATGGGCCCACTTGATACATTTTTTGTTCGGCTTAAAAAACTTTATAACACCAAGTTCGCATGAGGAAACACTTCACGGATAGATTTATGTCTTTAATATTTTTCCCATCTGAGTGTGCTAAATCTAACCATAAAATGGATCATAATTATTGACTTGTTACAAATGGAGATCAGTGGGTTTGGATGTTTGGCAATTATAAAAAGCATTTTTAAAAAGTACTTTTATACAAATCGATATAAAACTCCTCTTACATACCTATTTCGTATACCATTTAATTACTTTTAAAATCATATTTTGGTTTTTTGCCAAACAACTAGGATTAAGTTTGAGTGGTTGTGTGTAGAGTTAAAGAATGAAGTGCAGAAAGTGAAAGTGCAACAAGAACAGAGTAAATTACAACAGCAACAGATGAATGTAGCTTTGGCATTCCTACTTCAACACTTTGAGGGTCAGCTGCCATCTGAGCTTGTTACCACGGTAATTAATGTCATATTATAAAACTAATTAAATCTCTTACTTTTGTTACTTATATTAATTAATTAATAATTAATGTATATTCTTATTTATAGATACAAGATGGTCGATACAGTGGAAATCCAGGAGCCGATAAAACTCAGGCGCCACACTCCAATAAAGATAATTAGCTTAGCTGGCAGATTAATGGCAATATAAATTTGGCTTAGGTTATAGTAGTGCTAGTAAGAACTTTAACGTAATTCCAGCTGTTGTAATGGAATATATATTTGAGTTTCATTACTAGAAAATATTGCAGAACATGTACTGGCCATTTAAATCGATGCGAAGCTAAAAGCTTCCAATGTTTAATTACGGTTCTTGAAGTGTGACCATTGGGCTGGATTGGCATAATCATCTTCCCCACTAATTATTTCTCTTGTTTTTCAAATAACCCAAGAAAAAGGGGGCGAGTGAGAATAAGGAGGAAAAAAGGATAATCAATGCTAAAAAAATTAGTTAAAATTTTAGATGGTTTAAGCGTGCATTTTTTTTTGAGTGAAAATAAAATTATTATTGCTAAAAAAATTTACAGAGATTTAAAAGTGTATATTATGAATAGGACTATGCTTACTCTACATGAATATAAATGTAATCCATATTTAATGTACATGCTACACACTACATGAATATAAATTTAACAAAATAATAAATGAAGAATAAAATTGTATATTTATATGAAAAGTTTCTCTCTCTTCCCTATAAATATTGCCAGCAAATTTTTTCTCCCTCTCTATCCTATAAATAAAACTAGAGAAATATATTGTGTCTTATATAGAAGACTGAAGGAAGTAATTAATCAGATGTTATATGAAAGAATAGATAGACCCTACTGGGAAAAAGAAAGAAAGTCAAGGGTGATTTTTAGTTGGAAACTACTACCTTCAATTTTTAATATGAGAGTTAGATAACTAATTCATGAATATTTAAAAAAAAAGAAGTTAAGTTGGTTATTTATAATAGATAAGTGTTGTTTTTTTTTAAATACTTTGTTAATCATTTGTATTAGAATATTGAAAATTCTCTAACTTGTATAATCATAATTTTGGTGAGTTTATCAAAAAGATAATCATAATTATTGTGGGAAAAAACATGTAAAATCATAATGGGGACTATTTTGAGAAAATAAATAAATAAATATGGAAAACAAAATAGATTAAGTTTTTATATTCAGAACCAAATTAAATCTTAAACTAATTCTTATATTTAGTACTAGAAATAGTATTAAGGAACTGTATTTTTTTTTTTAAACTTAATATCATTTAGGAGGAATGGTTAAAAAAAATCACCCAGGAAGAGTAAAAACATAAATAAAAAAATATTGTCACCTTTTCGGTTAAAAAATTGATATTAACTGAAATATGGCGATATCATTCATTTTTTAATACTTTTAGGACCACATTGAATAAATTTTTTTAATATATTTATAATTTTTGTGTGTGAATATTTTGAGAACAAAATTACCTTTCACCCAGAAAATAATTTTTTCTTTTGGAAAAAAAAAAACTAGATAGACTTGTACAGATTCCTTATATGGCATGTAAGACGGGGCCGTCCTCACCCTTGTCTTTTTCTCATGGATGATGGATTATTGACTACTGACTAGGTTGTCCTTGTCCGTCAAAAGCGCAATAAATTGGGAAGGTCACAGAGGAGACAATTTTATCGGAAAGAAAAGTCGCTGAATAACAAATAATTAATTAAAATTAGTTAAAAATAATAACTAAATTAGAAATATATTTTTATAATAAATAAGAAAAATAATAAAATAGAATGTATGAGAAATCAAAATATGACAAGAGAAAAATAATTTAGAATAACATTAAAAAAATACATTAAATATTGAAACAAATTCACATTGAAACTTATAAAATAGATTATACTCTTTCCTAAATTTGGAACTTATAAATAAGATAGAAGTAGCACTTACAATCAACATTGGAAACCTTTCAACTTCCCTCCCCCTCCACTTTTTATCTCTGTCATTAGATGAAATTTAAATACTTCCTCATGTCGTTTTTATAATAGCTTAAAATTTGAATTATCTTGGTTTTTTTTAAAAGATTACACCTATGTTTGTTTAAATGTCTAATGTTTTTTTAGTTTTTTCCTAATTAATTTTATATATTGCACTAATTAAAATGTTTACTACATTCTCCTCCATATGTTTTATCTCTTGTAATTATAAATAAGGGTATGCTTAAAAAAAGTTCATTTATTACATATTATTACTTTTAACTCAATTTAACTATTTTCTTAAACCAAATAATTTAGTTATCAGGCTCTTATAAAAATGATCAGAAAGAGTAATTGAGATTTAATATTATATTATGAAATAACAAAAAATATATAAATAAATTTTTTTGATAAAAAAAATATAAATAATTTTATACTGTTAAAATATGATTTTTACGGGTGAATATTTTTGTTGATTTTTTTTTATCCCTTGTAGTTTTGATAGGTAATATTTTAATAGTTTAATTATATAGATTATTCGATGTTATAATAATGTTTTTACATGATATTAAATTTTGACCGTTTAAAATTAATCTAGCAATGAAGATAAGAGGTGAATTGGTTCTCTTTTGAGCAACCTTGGATCTCATTTAGTGGAAGGACAAAAGGAATCTTATTTATTCATACGAATTTATTAATATCACTCGAGTTTGTTTAAGAATTATAAGTGAATTTTATAATTTTTTTCTATACAATTTTACATTTGTTATTATCCTACTTTCCCCCAGTTCGAATAAAGGATATGATGAATTTGTAACCACTCAAATTTCGCCAAATTTTTTCCTTTTTATCTTTTTCTCCTATTTTTACTAGTGACATTTGTGCTTGTTATCAATACATGCGTAAATGGTTACTCATTAATATTTTAAAATATGTAACACTCATTTAATTCTCTAACTCTATATAAGATTTAAGTTTGATCCCTTAATTTTTAAAAAGATTTTTTTCGGTTATCTAAACCTAACTTCATTAGTCACAAATGTTGATTTTTGTGACAAATAATATTATTTTCAAAATTATAATTAATATGATAATTTTTTTTTGAACCTTTTGTTGATGTTTAAAATTTCAGTATCTGAATATTTTGTGTAAAGTGCATTGGGGTTAAAAAAAAAGAAAAGATAGCTTATAGAATTAAGAGATCAAAATGAAATCTCATGTAAAATAAAAGATAAAAGGACACTTTTAGTTTTCAAATATGTAGATTAGTCCTATTTTTTGTGTGACAATGAATATTTGAAATGATTTTAATTTTGATTGTTGATTTATCTTTCACAAGTCAGAACCTCATTTTATTGATGTTTAAAATATTTTTATGTATTATTGAAACAAATAAACAAAATCTTCTGTTAAAAATAGCAACCACATGCAATAAATTATAATAATACTAGCTAGATCCCCATACAATAATGTGTGTCCGCGCTTATTATCGAGATTGCTAACATATTTCATAATATAATTAATATATTTGAAATATAATTAATATATTTTGTCTAAAGTATCAATCTTTTACACATTGCATTTTTAACTAATTATAAAACTTGGTGACTAATTAATCAAAGTCTTCATTCTAACTAATAACTTTTACGGATGATAATTTTAAAATTTTGCAAAAAAAAATCTAATTTTAACTAATTTTATTAATTTATATAAAGTTGTTATTACATGTTTATAATAAGTATCCGGGATTAATACACACAAATATAACATTTAAAAGGTAAATTAAGATAAACTCTAGAAAGGTTGGACTTAGTCAACGCCTGATCTCCCCAACCACAAGGTTATGTAGAGACAGAGGCATTTACGATATATTGCCTCACGTCCTTAATATTATCTCTGGTTTTAATTATAAGACCTTATTTATAATTTGCAAATAAGATCTTATAGTTAAGACTGAAGGTAGTATAAGATTTAATTGATTAATTTAGGGCTCAGAGATAATATCTTATAAATAGAAACAACACAACACAAACCTCATCACCAAATCTCAAACACTTTCACTACTACTCTTAGTTCTTACCATTGTCACAATGAGGCTCTTCTCCTTTCTCTTCTTTCTCCTTGACCTAATGTCTCATCAGGGCGCTATTGCCCAATCAAACTTCTTAAAACTCAACTGTATTGGGACTACTGATGATAGCAACAGTACCTTTCAGACTAATCTCAAAAACCTTTTGATGTATATCTCCAACACGCAAATCGACTATGGCTTCTACAACTTCTCTTCCGGCAGTAAATCTGACAGGGTTAACGCCATCGCACTCTGCCGAGGAGATGTTAAGGAACCAGATTGTCGCAGTTGTCTCACAGATTCAAGGGTTGTCCTTCTCCAGGTGTGCCCTAACGTGAAGGAGGCGATCGGCTGGTACGATAACTGCTTCCTGCGATACTCCAACCGAACCATATTCGGTCTCATGGAAACATCGCCATATTTCTACTGGTCGGACACACATGATGTGTTGGAGAAAGACCAGTTCAAGAGCGTGGTGACGAAGATGATGAATCTTTTAAGAGACAAGGCTTCTTCAGGCAACTCTATTCGGAAGTTTGCGGTGGCGAATGCGACAGGTCCGAGCAATCAGACGATATATGGTCTAGTACAGTGCACGCCAGACTTGTCACAGAACGCTTGCAGAGCTTGCTTGAATGTAACAATCTCGGAAATTCCGAAATGTTGCAATGGAATGAAAGGTGGCGGAGTGCTGCAACCAAGTTGCAGCATTATATATGAGACTTACCTCTTCTTTGATCTTGCGGCTGCACAACCATTCATATCATTACAGTCGTCGCCGTCTCCTCTTCTGCCATTGCTCCTCCAACGGCACCCAAGAAAGGTATCAATATTTGCATGCAGTTCACACACACACACACATGGGGGTAAAAGATGATCAGAGTCAATCTCTAGCAACTTACATATCTCTCTAGAATTTGCTTGAATGTGGCAATCTCTGATTTACATGTTATACTTGTGAGCAGAAAATCCTTTTCTTCTTCTTTTTTTTTTTTTCCTGTACAGGAAAGAGAAACACGACAGGAATTGTTGTTGCCATAGTTGTGTCAACTGTTGCGTTCATCGCACTGGTCATCTTCATCGTTATCATTAAAGCCAGGAGGTTAAAGAACACTATCCGAAGTAAGTCAACGTATTATAAATTACGAAAAATTAATCTTTTATCTGTTAAATGGGTTCATAGTTTTAGCTTGACTTAGTTTTTATACATTAGATGGGTTCAAGTGACTCCCTAAAGTTTTGACTAGACTGCAACTCAATTCCTGAGTCACAACCATTGCCTTGAACTTCAAGAAATATTAATTTTATTTTTCTAAAATATGTGGACTAATTTTTTATTAAATGGTTAAATTATAGAGATTGAGTAATAACCTAGTCAAAATTATAAGGACTGTGTTACAACTGAGATTGATTTATAATTGAGTTGAAACATCTATTGATTATACGTATAAATCTCAATTCAATATAAAATATTAAAGTATAGAGAAGTGATATTTAATAAAAACATACAAAACAAGGAGTCTTGGAAAATCATGGCCAACATTATTTTAGTTGAAAAATATTTTCTTATGTCGTTTTAACCTTCTTACGTACATATACTTGCGCTGCCATGCGTAACGTAGCCGGAGAAGATGAAGATGAAATCATGACCGTTGATTTTTCTGATGCAAATAAGCTTGGACAGGGTGGATTCGGACCTGTTTACTTGGTAAGAAATTAAATTATACAGCACTAAATTAAATATTATTCAAACGGAATATTCCAGTGCCTGTATTTTATATTATATCAAAACTCACGTATTTGATTTTTTTTTAAAATACATAATTTCAGGGCAGGTTATATAATGGACAAGAGATCGCTGTAAAAAGGTTGAGTAGAGATTCTGGGCAAGGTGAAATGGAGTTTAAGAATGAAGTGTTGCTGGTGGCCAAGCTACAGCATCGGAATTTAGTGAGGTTACTTGGTTTTTGTCTCAAAAAAAAAGAAAAGCTCCTTATTTACGAGTTTGTTGCCAACAAAAGCCTTGACTGCTTCATCTTTGGTAATCCAATATTAGTGTTTGATTCTGTAATGTCATCTATTTCTTCTGATTTCAGATTACCCTATTGCCAAGTTTCTTTGACTTCTTTTAGACAAGTCGAATTCAAAGCACCACTAGATATATAGAAGTCACCTTGTAACGTGTGTATTTATGTAGATTCCGTCAAAAGGGTGAAATTGAATTGGGAAAAGCGCTACAAAATCATAGAAGGCATTGCCAAAGGCCTTGTATACCTTCATCATGATTCTCGAATAAGAATTGTTCATCGTGATCTCAAAGCAAGCAACGTGCTCTTAGATAAAGAGATGAATGCTAAAATATCAGACTTTGGTATGGCAAGATTATTTGCGGTAGATCAAACTCAAGCCAAGACAAGTACAGTTGTTGGGACCTAGTAAGTTTATTGATTTATTAGATTAGTGTTATAACACTGAAGATATAACTTGACCTTGTTTTTTTCTTTGCCAGCGGAGATATCACTTGACTAATCAAATTTAAATATACTCATTATTCTTATAAAATATCTGATAGTGGATACATGGCACCAGAATACGTGATGAATGGAATGTTTTCAACTAAATCAGACGTCTTCAGTTTTGGAGTATTGGTTTTAAAAATTATAAGTGGCCAGAAAAACTGTCGATTTCAGAATGGAGAAAATGAGGAGCACGTAGTAAGCACGGTAAGTACATGCCCTTTATCCATCCAAATCTAATTTTAGTACTAAAGTCAAAACTAGCCATGAATTTCTCAATAATGTTTAACTGAAAAAAAAAAAACTGGATGTGGTAGTAGCTAATTATCGAACAAGTTGTTTCAGGTTTGGAAAAACTGGACAAAAGGGACATTGGCAAATATTGTGGATCCAACGTTGATGGAGGATGCTGGGTCAAGAAGTGAAATAATGAGATGCATCCACATAGGGTTACTGTGTGTTCAAGAAAATGCAGAACACAGGCCAACAATGGCTTCCATTGTTCCAATGCTGAGTACTCATTCCATCACTCTTCCTGTTCCTTCAGAACCTTCATTTTATATCTGGAGAAGTTTACCAGGAATCAAATCAGCCGGATCAGTAAATCAGCTTTCAGTTTCAGAGCAATATCCTCGGTAGCTATAGGAAAAATTACTATGTTGTCCCAAAGAGAAAAAATATAATTATGATATATGTATGTGTGTATATTTTGATTTCCTGTGATTTCCTGTGTAACACTACTGTGAGTAAAAACATATATGGAGTGGTTTTATATAATTCATGCATCTCAATATACTCATGATTGGCTTTTGTGAATTATGATATGGTTTGTGTGTGTGTGTGTCGGATAATAAATATAACTAACGAACAATAGCGTTTTCTTCTCTCACGAAAAGTTTGTTATTCATATAATTGATAAATACCGAAAGTAAAGGGGACCCCTTAATTTGAATTAAGCCAAAATAAAAGGATAAATTAAACTAGATAAAAATAACAAAGTGAATAACATTCTAAAATAAGAAGTGAAATGTTTGGGGTGATGATTTCCTTAGCATTTCATAAAAGCTATAATTAGCTTCCCTTTTAATTTATTTTTATAATGCAATTATAATTAACTCAAGACTCTAATTTTTTTGGGCCGAACTCAAGGCTCTAATTACTTGTTAATACCTTTTCAATCATCTGTAATTAAATAAATTAAAGAGTGTTTATACGAATAAGTTAGAACATGTGAATTAGAGTTTTATATATTACGTAGCGTCTTGTGAAATGTTAAGAGAAAAATTGCATCGACGAACCTTTCACTACTTATAATTGAGTCTAGAACTTGATTTCTATCCCCCGGCATATATAGCTTAGCATTTAGTAAAGTTTTATCAGTATTCAAGAACTTAATATCATCATTTTTTTTGTTAACAGTTTTGGAGTTAAAGGACTAAAAATATTTTGTTTTTTAAAGTTACGAAACAAAACTGAAATCTTACATATTAAAAGACCAAATATATACTCTAGCCAATAATAATGTTGACATCATGGAAAGAAAAGTCAAGAAGGCGATAATCTGGACGTCATCAGTTATCTTCAGACGTAGATGAGACTCTCTTTCCTCTCCTTTCACGTCAATTTCCAAACAAAATTGACAACTAATTAAATATAAATGGAGAAATCTCGTGCGTCTTAAAAAAGATAATCAGAAATATAATTATCAAAAGTTATTTTAACAATTGAATGACGAATTGTGGGATAAAAAATAAAGACAAGATTCAAACTATTCTCTTATATTTGAAAATTTTAATAGGACAACACTTACAATAAGTTTTTTTTTTCTTATGTCCATTATGTGCAGTTTTTCGATCAAATTAAACCATGTCTGCTATTTTTAAAATATGATCATTAAACTATTTTTTTACCAGCATTTTCATTAAATTATTAAACCCATATGAAAAAATATATACGATACATATTCATGTGATTGAAAAACTTGATATAACAAATATAACATAAAAAATTTGATGTAAGTATTTTCTTTTCTTATAATGATGTAAATATATATGTATATTTTCTTTTATCATCTCACAATGATTCTTCCAATGTGAAAATACATGTTGATGAGATGAGACAGCTCCCTTCCACGTAGGACGCAAGGCATAATGGTTTTTCCATTAAGAAAATGGACATCACAAATCAAAACGGAAACATTGTACCTCCACATACCCGTAATTGGTCCACCAAACATAATTTCTTCCCATGAAATTAGTGTAGTCCTTTTACCTTATTAATGTTGGAAAAATGCATGATATGTGGAGACCAGGGGAATGAATTAATATAAGCAAGGTAGCGTAATTTTTCAGATGATAAAGAAAGCAATGAGGCAATTAGTCAACGAAATTGTTGTGATTATTGTCATTTTTTCTTGAACTGCTTGGTATTTACTATTTAGTATGATAGAATGAGTTGTTCCTAAATTTTTTGTATTGGCAGTAATACTCAAACTTAACTTTTTTACTCTATCCTGTCATTATGACAAACTTCAAATAACGTATAACAAAAATTTGTTAAAATTAGTTAAAAATAATAAATAAGTGAGAAATAAACTTTTGTTTTCAAATATAGCCTTATAATAAATGAGAAAAATGATGAGAGAGAATATGTAGAGATAATGAGAGAAAGTATGACAAATGAGAGATAATAAATAATTAAATGTGAAACTAAAAAAATACATTACATGTTGAGACAAACCCAATTTGAAACTTATAAATTAGAATAAATATTTTTTAAAATTTAAAGCTTATAAATAGGACTATACGGGGTGTAAAATATTAGTTCATTATAACTACATTTATTTTCAGGCCAAAAAAAAAACTACATTCATTTATTTTCAAGGCATAGTTAATGAGGTTTTATTATTGCGAAAATTACACTCAGGTCCTACAGAAGACATTTAATTTAGAAAAAGTTCCTGAAAATCCCAAAATGATTCCTAAGTCCCTAGGGACCTGTAATAAATTATAATTGTGAAATTATCTATTTACCCCTATTAACTTGAATCCAATGCAATTCATTTATAATCTCAATAGTGGTTATTGACAACTCGAGAAGAAGTGGTTAACAACCTCGGCAATGCCCCTGGCATTCCACAGAGTGAGTTGTGAGGGACACTGCCGAGGTTGTCAACCAGTTCTTCTTAAGTTGTCAACAGCCACCGTTGAGGTTGTAAATAAATTGCTCCAATAAAATTAATGGGGATAAGTAAGTAATTTCATAATTACAATTTATTACACACAAGTCCTTGGGGACTTAGGAATTATTTTGGGATTTTTAGGGACTTTTTCTGAATTAATTATCTTCTGTGGGACCTGAGTGTAATTTTCCCTTTATTATTGTTATTATTATTTCTGTTTTGATGAAACATGTTGGAAGTAATTAACTTATAAATAAAACAAGATATGTAAATTATTTATATTATAAAAAACTCAACTTGAAATGATTGAATTAAGGTCGCTATAAGTAATTTAATTAATTTGTCGAACTCCCCAGCCTTTCCCTCATTTTTTTTTGCACCCATTGAAGTGTTGAAAATGTAATCCTTTTAGAGATTGTGTGTGATTTGAACTGATGGAGTATATAAGCGGAAGAGCCAAGACATGAAAAAGAATTCTAGTGGCACCCTTTCTATATCAAGCCAAAGAGACAGGGTCTCTGTACGGCGAAAACAAGACCACATACAACCTTTGCAATAAGTCAAAGCTCAGTGAAAAGTGACAAGTCCATCCAATTAGGTAATTTGGACTTAGTCATCCCATTGATTAATAATTGGTGACTTCTTTTCTATGAGATTTTCGTTTCCCCTATATGCAAAGGTTGGCCAAGAAGCACTATCTTTGTGCGTCTCTTTCAATAGTGAAGAAGACTTTAAAAGTGCGTAAACATCACATTGTGCCGTATTTCTCACAGTGAGGCATCTATTTTTTCCTACCCTTTTATTCTTATAGACTAATGTGGAAGTAACGAATTATTTAATTACCCGAAAGGAATCTAAACTCAAAATGACTAGTAAAAGTCACACTAATTAAGTTTGGAACTTTATCATTATCCCCAACCACACTTTAGTTTACTTCTGACCAACAAGTCATCATTTTGCTAAATGACAATTCTCAAACATCATATCCCACTGCCCTTTTTTTTTTAATGGAAAGGAAAATATCATTCAAAGAAACGAAGCAAGGACAGTCAACGATACTAGATTAAAGGCAAAAAAAAAAAAAAAAGAGAACAGTAAGCAATACACACGAGACATGGCAAAACAAATCATAAGCAAAATTAAGTTTACATATCAATTGAAATAATAAGATTAATGGTTTTCAGAGTATGATTAACTATCCCTTCAGTAGGTGCATAGAAATCATCATCATATTAAAACCTAACCCAAGTTGCCCAGTCTGACTAGTGAGTCTGATCAAATTTTGGACAGATCGATCATGCATGTTAGATTTTATATCTTTTATTAAGCTTGAAATGACATTTGTTGGATCATGCGTTGTTTATACACCAATATTCTATACACTTGTGGATTAATGTTTTTGCTATAAATATTGTCTTAATTATGATTGGTCTGATCCTGAGTAAATCATCGTAATTCAAATTACTGTCTTTAATCAGTTTATTAATCGACTTGGTTTTCAGTACTTTGACCTTGAAAATCACCACGGCTAAGCCTAGTTCCTTTCTTTTACTTTCTTTTTCTTTGGCTCACCATAATTTCTTATCATGGCACCAAAACCAATAAGACTTCCCAAAAATCTTCTGTCGCTATGGCTCCCTATGGGACAGAGTCCGCATGAGGTGCTCATCGAATCCATGCATGATCACCTCATGCTCAGTGCCCAAATGGCTTCTTTTTATGTAGGAAAGAGGTAACTTTAAATGATTTTCCCCCCATCCCGCGTGATGCCTCCATTTCCCCATCTCTCCTTTTTTCTTAGGCCATTATTAGCCATACTTTTTCTTAGGCTGTAATTATTTTTATAATTAACACAAGTTTATATTACCCTTCCGATCCTTAATATAGGACCTAATTATTGAGTTGATTTTGATCCTAAATATAAGAGCTATTTTTCATATTTATTAATTTTTTCTAAATTATCCTTATGGATGTTTCATCAACCATAATCAAATAAGTGAGGGAAGAAGGATATTAAGGAAGATGATTATGGTGTTTTGAAAAAAAATGTCATATTTTTTATAATTAACTAACTTACTTGACTTCCTTAATTTAATCAAATTAGTTAAATAGGTCTTATATTAAGGACTGGATGAGTATATGTGTTTAAAAATCATATTTAAACTAAAATCAGGCCTCGTACAATGTTTAACGCAAAAATTCTAACTACCTAGTTTGATTGTCCATAGTTTTTACAGGGATTAAAATACACCCAACATCTTGAAGTATCTTTTAAGTACTGAAAAATGTTTTAGGGTGTTGAATAAATCACCGATTAATTTAGTATACTAAATACTACTTAGAAAATACTTGTTTAAGTAGTAAAAAATGTTTTGGGGTGATGGATAAATCACAAATTAATTTAATATACTAAATACTACTGAGAAAATACTTAAGATTTTTGGGCGTGTTTTTCTATACTTAAAAGATACTCAAGATGTTGGATGTATTTTAACTCCTATAAAAATTATGGATAATCAAACCATTCTGTTGGAATTTTTTTGTGAAATATTATAGGAGGCCTAATTTTAGTGTAAATATGATTTTAAAATACATGTAATATATATTTGTGTTAATAATAAAAATAATTGTAATGTTTGATTTTTTTTAATTTTTAAAGATGTTAGAAGAAAAACTGGGCGACACTTTAAAAACAAGAGAAAAAATTCCGGAAAAAAAGCCTTGAAATTATTATTTCCCAATTCAAGTATTTAAGAGTTGAAAAATGATAAAGAATGAAGTGGTATCTGATATGGTATTTTGTAAATATAGTTAAATAACTAAAATACCTTTGTATTAGAAAATATATTAAATTGATAAAGTTTTTTAAATTTTATTTTTATCAATTTTTTTCTCTATTTACAAATCATTTTGATATCTCTTTCTTTTTTTCTTTCTGATAAAAATTAAATAAGATTAAATTAGAAAACAAGCATTAAATATACTATAAGTAACTTATTTAGAACCAAAAGTTTTTTGATAAGTAACTTATATTTAGGATCAAAGTAATATACACACCGCAACATAAGTAAAATTGTATGAGAGTTATATATACGTATATATATATACACACACACCTACAAGGCTGTCAAATTGGACAATGCACTAGGGTGAGTATAGGGCTATTTATGATTGTGACTAAAGTTTTTTTAAAAAAATAAATTAATGCATTCTTTGTTTCAACAAGACTTTAGAAGTCCAGAAAAATCATTATGGTCTTCTATTTCTAAGTTAGTGGGGCGTCTACATTTTTCTATCTCTTTCCCGTAACACTTCGTATGATAAATTATTTACCCTGAAAAATGTAAACTCAAGAGATGACTACAAGTCGTTCTAAGTAAAGTTTGGGCATCGTCACTCTCAATCCCCAATTACTCTTGGCACCATCTTCTAACCTAAATACAAAGAAAAGAAAAGATTATAGACCCCAACTGGACAATTCTCAAACCTACGCATAGAGAAAACACGTACAATAACCATGCCTAGGGTTTCCTTTATCTTCTTTCTCCTTTACCTAACCCTAATTTCTCATCATGGCACTATCGCCCAGCAAGACTTCTTAAACCATTTCTCTGGTGAAGGCCCCGCGGACAGCAATAGTTCCTTCTGATCCAACCTCAGAAACCTTTTAGTAAACATCTCTTTCAACACACAAATAGACTATGGTTTCTACAACTTCTCCTCCGGCAACAACTCCAACAAAGTTTACGTCATCGGACTATGCCGAGGAGATATTACTATACAAGATTGCCGCAGTTGCATCCAAGATTCGAGGGTGATTATTCTCCTAGTATGTTTACCTAATGCGAGGGAAGCGATCGGGTGGTACGACGTCTGCTTTCTCTGATACTCAAACCGATCGATATTTGGTGTCATGGAAACATCGTCGGGTTACAATTCGTCAGACAGCTCCGATGCTTTAGAGAAAGACGAGTTCAAGAATGTATTGATGCAGATGATGAGTTATCTGAGAGAAAGGGCTGCTTCCAGAGACTCGTTGCGGAAGTTTGCAATGGCAAATGCTAGTGGTCCGGGCAATCAAACCATATACGGTCTTGCACAGTGCACGCTAGACTTGTCGAACAAGGATTGTGACATTTGCTTGAGTGGGGCATTCTCTGATATTTCTAAATGTTGTGACGGAAAGAGAGGTGGTCGGGTGGTCCGACCTAGTTGGTACATTAGATTTGGAGCATATAGCTTCTTTGAAGCTTCTGCATACAATAATGCACAACCATTTGTGTAGTCACCGTTGCCTCATCCTGCCTCCAAATAAGGTAAACTTATATGATTAGGGCTTTTTTTTTTTAAATTAAACTAGATCAAGAAAATATAATTCTAAAACTGAAAATTACTGCCTATAGTTTGTGTTTGGATTAGCTTGTGGAGAAATAATTTGGGCCGTATATACTCCCTCCGGTCTATAATATAAAATGTTGGTTAAGTCTTCTCACAAAACAAAAAAGTTAGGAAAGTCATTAAATACGTTTTAAATTGATAAAAGTTATTTATTTTATCTTTATTAAAGAAAGTGATTGGAATATTCTCCCCTCTATGTAATAAGAGGTAAAAATGAAAAACTATTATTAATTACTTTGTCAACATCTTATCTTTTGGATTAAAATTTTCTTCTAGAAGACTTCTTATATTATGAACAAGAAAAAGTGTGTGAGAAGAATTTTGTCTCAATTAAAGAGGGTTGAGCTTAGCAAAAGAGGTTAATCTGTTATAATATAGTGAATCAATATTAGAATTCCCATTTTTAAAAAAGTTCACTGTAACACCTCGAATTTTATGATTTAGGATGAGTAGAAAAGAGAAAAATTTATTAAAATTATTTATTTGCCAAATAAAGGGGGAAAATTATGGAATAATGATTTTTAGGGTTTAGAGACATTTTGGAAAAGGTATTTCCCCAAAAATGGCTTAAATAATTTTAATAGATAATTTTAAGAGAAGAATGGTTTATTTTCTCTGGAAATTATGGAAAAATACTTAGAGATTTATATTTAATCTGAGAATTTTAGGATAACCAGTTGTGATGGATAAGAAAAATCCATTCAGGATATTTTGGTTTAATTTCGGATATATCTTATATTTCAGAAAAATAGGAGAAATGATAGGATTGGAGAAATAATTATGTGTGAGGTCAAGATTGGTCCAGGAACTTTGTAATACACGTGCTACCTTCTCTAATAGCCACCTGATTCACTCCTCCATGTAACAGCTGGTTATCCACGCGTTCTGATTCACTCCTCTATACATCAGCTGATCACCACGCGTTGCATTTCACTCAGTCGGTGTCCAAAGAAAAGAGAGAGTGACGAGACAAACAGACACAGACCGAGAGAGAGAACGGAGAAGGAGTAGTGCCGGAGGTGGTGATCTGAGGAGCTACACTTGCATGCAAACCGGTTAAACTGTCAAGGTGAGCATCCTGATCAACCTCCCACCATTTTCTTTCCTGTTATCCGAGTGGTTATGGCGTGTTTGAGGAGAGAGAGACAGAAGGGTAGTGAGAGAAAGTGATGGAAAGGATAAGAGGACCGATGGATTCGGATTCTATGGGTAGATTGAAGTGTTTGATGTTGGTTTTTAAGCATGCATGTGAGATTTCTTGCTGTGCTCTAATTTGGCCGAACAGGGAGGGCATCATGGTTTCTGTAAGAATGAATTTCGGTTCCTTATTTACTTAGTGAGAGGAGTTGATCTTGAGGCTGTAAGTTCATTTCTTCGTTCTGTTTTCTTGCTGGCCGAACTGACATAGCACGAAACATATATATATAAATATATGCATGTGCCGCAGGATCCAGAAGGAGTTTGTGTGTGACGGGTTGCTTTGTTTTTTTTTTTGAATCCGAGACAGGGGAGTGTATTCGGTGCTTGCATGTTGTTTACGTTAGTTTGCTGATGGGACTTTGTTACTGGTTACAGAGATTTTGGAGTGTATATATATATGAGGAAGAACCGAAGCTTGTGTGTGTGTGTATAAATGTGTGTGCGTGCTTTGTTGCTGTCATGGGACTCGAATTCATGGAGCTAAGGGAAATGGTCACTGGTTAGATGATGACCGATTTGGAGAGGAGACCGAACTGATATATATATATATATATATATATATATATATATATGTATATAGTTTCAGTATATGTAGCGATATATGACTTATATAGGATTTTGCACTGGATATATATTTCTTATATAAGGGCCGTGGGAAGCAATGGCTATGACTGGAAATTAAAGAAAAGATTAAGAGTTACTTGGAAGCAAATAAATGACGGTTTAGTATTTAATAAGTGTAAGGATGCTTCTTTGCGTTAAGTAGTATTAACCTAGCTAAATAAATTTTGTTTGAGGCTGGGATGTAAGTTTAGGAATTTAATGTTGTTGCCTAACATCCTTGAGGGTACGCTATTATTGAAATTAAGTTAATTACTGTTTTGAGGGAGAATTAAGAATGTTTAACTTATATTTAAGTTAGTCTTAAATCTGAAAATTTTTCTAGATTTAACTTGAAGGTTGAAAAGAGATGTTGTTGGGTATTTTTAAGTAGTGAAACTGAAAATTGATTGATACTCGATCATAATTATGAAGCAATAGTAATACATAATAAATTTTTGAGATAAGATTGTGTGTCTGTCTTAAGTTGGAAGTGCAGTGGCTGTTATATGCATTTAGATGTCCAGAAATTAGCTTGAATGGATTTAAGTATTGGAAGTGAAAAGTGATACATACACACATATTGAGGGAAGGAAAAAACGTGTGAGGCTTGGAATGCAATGAACTTGAGTTTTGAATACTGGATATAAATGAAATGGAAAATCTGAAAGTTTAAGAAAGAAGCCTTTGATGGAGGGTTCAAAGGTCATAGATAGTATTTTAGATTAGAGATGTCTTGAAGTTAGGAATAATTTCTAGATTATGAAAGGCAGAGGAGTTGATTTAAATTTTATTGTTGAAATGTGCTTGAGGTTACCAACCAATGGATAGGAATTTTAAATAATTAGAGGATAGGTTGGCAAGGATTAAAGTTTGTATAAGAGGATTAGGAGGCTATGGGAGAATATATGCAATGTGTATGTGATTGAGCTATGAATAGATAGGGATTGTAAGCGGAATTGTGGACATTGTAATATATATACATATATATATATATTATATATCTTTAGTTTTTCCATAATGACCAACCACTTAATAAAAGTGGAGCTAGATTTGGAAAAGGGGATACATGTTATCCTTAAATTATAATAAATAGAAATAGTGCTTTTGACCAAGATGACCAGTTACTAGGTAAAGTAATTGTTTGGATGAGATAAGGAAGGAAACTCTCCAAAGAGAAAAGTTTAAATAAGAAAAATTGTCCAGGATGACTACTATTAAAGTAAGGGTAGAAATTGAAAGAGATTGGGATTTAAAGAGAGTTATTTAATTTATAAATTATGTTGGATCAAGTATTAACCAACCCTTACTAATATAATAGGTTTTGATATCTGCAAAAGCCTACCGAAGAAGCTAAGAGAAAGGAAACAAGTAAGGTTTGATTTTGAAGCAGAAGGTTCAGGTAGTAGTTCTTTCCTACCTTACACTTGTGTATGATTGCTGCATGTCTGTTTGTGCCATATTACTGTTTAAAGCATGAAAACATGTAATCTTTAATTCCTTGCATGGATTATTTAGCCGTGATCACGTGTAGCTAATAGACATGGGGCAGTGATTACCAATTATTTGCACATTATTTATTCAGCTTGTCTATCTGTCATTGCACTTAAATGCTTAATTGCATTAGCTTGCAACGTTATATTCACTTTGGCTTGTTTTGCATGCTTTATGTAATCTGCACATTTGTTTGATGGAAATTACTACTACGGGATTCGTTCGAATCTCACCCTCCCTTCCTATATTATACAGCTAGAGCAAGCAATTCCAAGAGTAAGGAGGTCATAAGTGCTGAAGGTGGGCTTGTATGAAGAGCAGGAACGCCTACTGCTTTTGTACCTATAGAATAATTATTTTGATATTTAATTATCCGACTTATTAGATGTTTAAGAGCAAGTAACCCCCAGTTACTAGTAATTATACTATTTTGTATCCTTCTTTAAGGGTGTGTACTTTTCAGTGCTCAGGTAAGGGTCATTGTCCTGAATGACCAGGGTAGTAACTTATATAATAGTAGTATTATTTTAAATCTATGTGCCTGTCATACGTGCTTCAGAAGTAGGGTTCAAGTGTGTGAATCACTCGTCAGTATTTATATATATAAAAAAAAAAATTTCATTTTCTATAATAGAACCTGGCGTCTAGTGATCCACAGATGTTAAGTGGACCCTACTAGTATATAGAAAGTTAGGTGTTGCAAGTTACATCGCTATATTACTCTTTATTTAATATTATCACCCAAAAATAATATTATCAGATGTGGACACAATTAATATATAATAATAATAATAACTAAAGAAAATTCCTTATTCCACTAATTTCTACTCGTTAGGTTTCATTAATAAGGTAGGAAGAAAATATTTTTTTTATCCTATTATGAGTTACATCACTAAATTTTCAACATAGATGTACAATTTTATTCTTTATTTATTATTATGTAGACTTTTTTTTTTCATGATATATAATGTATATTAAATTAGGATAGGGTTAGAAAGTTTTTAAATCTTAAGCATGGATAATGAGATTTAATATTTTTCTTGATTTTACTGTAACATATTGAAAGTAATTTAAAAATTATTCTTGATATGTATGTGGGTCCATCTTTCATCATATATTCATCTGGCCTTTATTTATACATGCTTCACAGTTTATACAAATAAAAAAATCTTAAATTCCATTAACAATGCCTTAAATATAACAACTTTTCAACCTTACTATATTCAACATATGCACTTTTAAAAAAAATTAATAAACAATATATACACTATAATAAATAAAAGACAAATAGTACATTAATTCATGTTAAAAATTTAATGATGTCTTGTAAATAGAACAAAAAAAGTATTCTCTCCCTACCTTACAAATAAGTCCAAAGGAGTACTTATTTATTATTTTAATTTGTCAATGGATGCCATTTGCAAGAAAAATCTATCAACCAAAGGGATAATTCAGTAATTTCCGAATATCCCAAATCACCTATAAATTTTTGGTTGATGAACTCTTGGACATGCATTTCAGAATCTTCATTTGGGTGCTTTACTTCTTATATTTCTTAGCATCAATGGCAAACAAGACTTGGGTGGTAAGTGTGGTGTTCTGCTTCTTGTTCTCTTTTGTTCACATTACAAAGGCAGGTCAAGACAGAGTCGCCAAAGCTAAGGAACTTGAGGCCGCCAAGCTTTTGAATAAGATGAACAAATCAGCGGTTAAGTCTCTTAAGGTATTGTATGATTCATCTTCTTCGACTAGTTTTGATTGTGACATTTAATTATGCACTTTGGCGGTTAATCAAGAAATTTGTATCATCATTTGTTCTTCTGAGTTTCAATTAAGAAGAAATTATGTTTGGGGTTTATGATTTATTATTGTTTTGGTTAACAGTTGGCGTTAAAAAAACGCAGAGTCCTGATGGTGACATAATTGACTGCGTCCATATTTTACATCAGCCAGCTTTCGATCATCCCAAACTGAAAAATCACAAAATTCAGGTAAAACATATTAATTTACTATTATGTTTTATTATTGGATTTTCAAACTGTAACTCAATTCTGAGGCCAATTATTGGGTATTCAATGAAGATGAGGCCAACATTTCTTCCAAAAGAAGGCCTTCAGAATCAAAGAAAATTGCTCAGTTGTGGCACCAAAGTGGAAGTTGTCCTGAAGGAACAATTCCTATAAGAAGAACAATAAAAGATGACATAACGAGGGCAGGCTCTTTCCAACGATTTGGGATGAAGGATAGCAACACCATCCCTAATTTGTCTGAATCACTATACTCTCCCGGAAGCAACCATGAGGTACTTTATGATAATATTGGAAATGTTGGAACTGTAAAATATTTAATGTGCATGTCGTGGAAAGCCTTATATTGTTTGATGTTTGCTAATTAAGAAACCTTGCCTTGTGTATAAGCACTGGCTAATGGTGTTGGATTTTAATCCTAAATATAAGACCTCAAACTATTTTGTCTTTCTAGTTATCATTTTTTCTCCAAATTAATTTATCTAACTTATAAATTAATATAATGTTACATAGGGATATTTTATAGAGATCAGGTCATATTTGTTATAATTAATTAACTTATTCAACTTTCTTGATTTATCCAAATTAGTTGAGTGGCTCTAATGTCAAGAACCAAAGGAAGTATAGTTTTTTTGTTGCAGTGGTAAAGATCTTTTGAGTGTTCTCAAAGACATTAAATATATATACGTATATTACACCCATAAAGAAGCTTGCATTGTTTGTGTGATTTGCATATTAGATATACTTTTCTTGTTACTTTGATGGTTTGGGTGGCCCCAGTATGCCACAACAGAAGTGAAGAAAGATAAATATTATGGAGCCAAGGCAACCATAAACGTTTGGAGGACACATGTTCAGCAACACAGTGAATATAGTCTCTCTCAAATTTGGGTTATAAATCAAGATGATAATGATAATGTCGAGAGCGTCGAAGGTGGTTGGCAGGCAATTCTGCAGTTTCTTTCACATCACATTCATTTCTCCAACAAATATTACTTTCTGTATCTATCTAACTAACCCCAGGGTTCACTGTTTCTTGAATTATTTTGGAAAATTAGGTCAATCCACTGTTATGTGGGGATGATAAACCAAGATTTTATGCGTATTGGACAGTAAGTTCAAATTTCTTATCAACCCAATAATTTCTTGTTTCTTGAAATCATTCTTTATTGTTATTGTTTCTTTAATATGTGTTCTTTTTCCCGCATCCAACAGAGTGATTCATATGGACGTACTGGCTGTTATAATCTACGATGCTCTGGCTTTGTTCAAGTTTCCAATATAGTGGCACTGGGAGCCATCATCCAACCATTATCTATCTATGGTGGTACTCAGTATGACATCTCCCTCCTTATTTGGAAGGTAGCTTCAATTTTTTCTTGGGAAGGAGGTTATCCTAAATAAACTTTAAAGAGCGATGATGAAGAGGAAAATAGAAAGGAGAGAATACTATGAAAGAAAACTTCCAAGAACAATAATATTTTCGGAAGTTTTTCCTCTTGATAGTTCTCTCCATTCTATTTTTCTCCCCATCCAAACGAAGTTTACATGTGTAATTCTGAGGATTTCTCTCAATTTACACATATTCACTGAAATTTTAAATTGCTTATATCTAAATTTTAGTGATACTACAAATTAATTTATATTTTTGTAAACTGATGAACATGATAACAATAATTAATAATAACAATGACCAGGATCCAAGAAGTGGAAACTGGTGGTTGAGAGCTCAGGATATAAATATGGGGTACTGGCTAGCTTCTATGCTCGATAGTCGGTCAGAGAGTGCAACAATAGTACAGTGGGGAAGTGAAGTACTCCTCCGGTCCTTAATATAAGACCTATTTAACTAATTTGATTAGATTAAGGAAGTTAGGTAAGTTAGTTGATTATAAGAAATATAATATGTTTTTCTAAAAACATCATAATCATCTTTCTTAATATTCTTCCTTTCTCACTTACTTGATTATGGTTAAGGGAGTACCCACAGGAATAATTTAGGAAAATTGATAAATATGAGAAATAGATCTTATATTTAAGACCAAAATTAATTTAACAATTAGGTTTATATTAAGGACTGGAGGAGTATTAAACAGGAAATCTACACAATAGAAATGGGAAGTGGTTATTTCTCCAAGGAAGGTTATGGGAAGGCTGGCTATTTTGAACAACTTTCCACTGTTAATGAGAACAATACTCTGGTCACTCCTGATAACTTTAAGGTTTTTGCTAGCAAACCCATTGACCTTAAACCTGTCATTAACGGTGATGTCCGCTTCTCCTACGGTGGCCCTGGAAGAAACTCAAATTGCCCAATTTAAACATGAGGGACTTTGAAAAGTCTAAATCCATCCATCCATCAATCCATGTCAAGGAAATAAGGGCGTTCCACTGGCGTGCATGGATTGAACTCCGTAGGCTCATCACTAATACTATATATAGTTAAGACCTCATCCATGGGATGGATATCGTATCCAAGGCCTCGTATATAGGCTCATAGAATAAGATTGGCCAGAGATACAATTTTAATAACGCTATGTATGTAGTGTTTGGTGTGACATTGTATCATATCATTGTTCGCCGAATAGCTTAACCGCAAGCGGACGGGTCGCAAGTAATATAAAAAGTATCGTTCCCTTAGAGACTAGGGCTAGATGAGTTAAAAATCATAATTGTGTTCTTGATTAGGTTAAGTGAAGCAAAAGTTGTAAAAGAGTTGTGAAATGAGGTTAGAAAAACAAAGATTTAAATCGAAGTGAATTCAGCTTGACTTTAAGACAAATAAGGGTCTAGCAGGGTTTTTTTTCACTAATATACTTCCTAAAACTTGATTAATCACTTCTCAAATAATAGTTAACAACAAGTTTAGTTAGCCCAGGGTTCACATAATTGATTAAACTTTCTCAAGTCAAAACCAAATTTTGCAATCTCAATAAAGCATAGCAATCTCTTGCATTTGTTTGAAAAGGTTGCACTTTGAAAACCAAAACCCCTTTTTAGGCTATGCTAGGTCAATAGATATATCTCTATTCTATCAACAAGCCTTCCATTTAATAAGATAAATTGCTGGTCTAGCACATTTTTACCAAAGTTCAAAGATTAATTTAACTTTCTCGAGCTTCAACCAATCAACTAATCAATCCAAACGATGGCCAGTCACAAGGAAGCAATAAGCTCAAGGTAAAAACAACAAAACATTATCATTAACACTAAAGAGAGAGTTAAAACAAGTATTAATCCATACAATAGATCAAAATAACCCTAGGATGACTATTCTAACTACACATGTTTAGCAAAGAGCCACAACTATAAAGATAGTTCCTAGCCATTACAGAAACAAAGGAGAGAAGAAGAAGAAAACCAAGAAAAAATGAGGAAGAAGCTTTCAATCTCTTGTAACTTTGAGCCCAATGTTCCCAAGCTTCAAAACCTCCAAACCCTAGCATAGCAAGCCTCCAAATGAGCCCCAAGGTCAAAATATATCCAAAAATCACTAGTCCCCCTATATATATGCCCTAATTTTTAAGTTATAGTGCAAAACGCATAGTTGCGAGGGGTCAGACGCCGCGGTGGACCTGGTCATCTACCTGGCGGATTACACAGAATGGGACTTTAGGTGAAAGGTTGGGCGTCGCGGTGGATATGGTCAGGAGCCGCAGCACCTTACACCGAATAGCATCTTCTTTAGACAGCCTGGGCACCATGGTGGATCACACCAAATGCCATCAATCTTCTTTGTTGGAACTGCCGTGGCGGTTGTCTTCATGCGCTATGACAGTTGGTCCCCTTTTTGTTTTTCTGCTTCCGGTCCCTCTTCCTTAATCTCTCCGAGCCTTCGGTCTACCCTGATCGCTCAGACTCGGTTGAATCCTTCTCCTTGTAATCATCTTTCAGCTCTTGCACTTTCCTACACAAAGAATAGAAGCCTTACACCAATAATCTCCCAATGGTTAGCCTAAATCAAAATTCACTTTGACAAATGATGTTTTCTAACTTTAAGAGGAAAATCCTGCACAATTAACTTCCAAAATCCATTAAAGAGTGCTAAAACAAGTTGAGTTAGTAGGAATTTTGAGAGGTTATCAATCATGTACAATATAATGTTATCTGGTGTTTGACGATGTATGTCGTGTGCTTCAATTTGCCGTGGAAGGGATAAAATGTATTTCTTTTTTGGGGATAACATCACCTTCAATTTATAAAATTTGACTTTGTTTTAGTTATGGTCTTTGAAATGGGAAACTAGTGGTTTTAAGGTTTTAGGGACTTAAAACAATGTCTTAGGAACATAACTAAAAATCTTTAGATGGATCAAAACGAGGTTGAATTTCAGGGGAACTAAAACCAAAACAAGATCTAATTTTATATACTAAAGATGATATTAACCCTTACATACTCTTTATATAAATACGATACTCCCTATGCTTAAAAAAAAAAAAAGGACATGTTGACTACTTAAAATTAATGAAATTAGTTAAATTTTGTTAAACATAAAATTTTCTTACAACTTCTCAAAATTACCTTGATCAAGTTGAAGTTATTATTTAAGAGTGAAAGAGGGAATCAGAGAATAACATTTTTTTTTTGAGAAAATTAATCTTTTGGTCCCTCAACTTTTAACTCGGTTATGACCTAGTCCCTCAAGTATGACTCAGTCCCTCAACTTCTAACTCAGTTGAAATTTAATCCCTAATTTTTTCCTATTTAATAAATTAATCCATGTCATATACAACTCACCTTGAATCATCACCCAATCACCCTATACATGCTGACATGGCTTCCAAATAAGCTCTGCATTCATTAGCCGTGACCCTCCCCTATTTCCTACTCCTCATTTTCTTTCTTCTTCTTAGAGTCGAATGTATTATTTACAGTATATATGTAGTGAAAAATTACACACCCGCCCAAATATATCAAAATTAAAGTGTGGGTGGGGGACTTGTAATTAAATTTATGAATGGAGAGGCTATACAGATAGTAGATACAGTAGGTTTAACATGACATGGAGAAAGATTTACAATAAGATATTATTATTCTTCACAATATCTAAGTATCACACCAAGAACCGATATAATAACGATGAAAATCAGGGGAAAAGCGAAGCTGAAGCTCATGGAATGGAACTGAAGGAACATGCTAAGCTGTGCAAATGCAATTCTATCTTTTTATTGGTGAGGACCGAAAGAAGAAAAGAAAAATCTGTTCCTTCAATTCAAGCGCAACTCCCCCCACTTTGATTTTGATTGATTTGCGTGGGTGTGTGTGTAATTTTACACTGCATATATACTGTAAATTACACCTTGGCCTCACGAATGATTCGCAGAAGAAGGAAAATGATAACGAAACAGGGGAGGGTCGCAGCTGATGAATGCAGAGCTTATTTGGAAGCCATGTCAGCACGTATAGGGTGATTGGGTGATGATTCAAGGTGAGTTGTATATGACATGGATTAATTTATTAAATAATGATTCAAGGTGAGTTGTATATGACATGGATTAATTTATTAAATAGGAAAAAATTAGGGACTGAGTTTCAACCCAGTTAGAAGTTGAGGGATTGAGTCATAATTGAGTTAAAAGTTGAGGGATCAAAAGATTAATTTTCCCTTTTTTTTTAAATGAGTGAGAAATGTTTTATTAAATTTTGAAACATTTCTGAAATATAATAGTTGTCGCCACTCAATATTAAAAAAATTGAGAAAATTGTTTAAAAGGATCTGCTCCGCAAATTTATTGTATAAAAGGACCTGAAAATCATTTTAAGGATCAATAATATCCTTTAGGGCAAATAGATATGAGGAGGAAATGATGAAATTGTCATTAAATGAAAACACGTACATATAAAATTTCAGAATATGGTCACAAGTTTTCCTGAAAACATAGAACTTTTCCAAATAGTGAAACAATGTTTCCAGAAAACATGTTAATAGAAGAAAATTTTAAGAACACTGGAGAAGCATACATACTATTGAAGAAGACTTACATATAAGACAAGTTGGAAACACGATTCCTTTAGTGGTCATGGAAGAAAAATACATACAATTGAAGAAACATGCGTAGAGTGAAAGAAAGATTACGCAAAGGGGAAGACAATTTGTTACATACATTGTTATATATCTCATTTTTTTTCTTTTACGAAAGCCAACACTATGTATGGTTGCCGCGTACATGGATATCACAGATTTAAACATTAAAAAGTGTCTTTATTTTGGTTATCGTTGTTAATCACCAGGTTCATTTCCCGGGGAAAATCTTGTCATAAAAAGGACAATAAAATTAAATAACTTCACAATGTACTAGGACAAATCAGGCTATAAATTAGTGTCATCAAGTCTTGTATATGCCCTTGAGAAATTTCACAAACAGTTCTTGCGTGATATTTGTCACCAACAATGGCAGACAGATTAGGAAAGGAAAATACCAGCTGGGTAGAGAAGGTGTTCTTCTTCTTTTTCTTGTTTTTGTTTTCTGTGCGGATGATAACAGCAGATCAAGACACAGTTATCAGTCATAGTCATAAACTTGAGGTTGATAAACTTTTGAAGAAGTTGAATAAAGCAGCTGCTAAGTCCATTAAGGTATGTAATTCATCTCCTGGTTTCTCATCCCCATTATGTTTGAAACAGTGAAGAAAATTATTGGTAAGTTTTAGTATTTATGGTAGTTTATGTCAACAATTTGTTTTTCTCAATCCAGAGTCCTGATGGAGATATTATCGATTGTGTCTCTATTCTAAATCAGCCGGCTTTTAATCATCCGAAACTCAAAAATCACAAGATTAAGGTGAAACACTTTGCTTGATTGCTTCATAGATATATATATAACTTTAAACTCTTGATCAAAAAAACTCAATCCGATTGATGATTTCATGTTTGAATGAAGATGAGGCCAAATTTTCAACCACAAGATAATATACTTGAAGTGAGTAATGAAATATCTTCAAAATCAAAGCCAATCGTTCAGCTATGGCACCAAAGTGGAAGTTGTCCAGAGGGTACTATTCCGATAAGAAGAACAAGAGAAGAGGACATACTGAGAGCAAGCTCCATGCAACAATTCGGGAAGAAGAATCTCAAGAACGTCGTACTACCCTTAACCCCAAATGGTGGAGGTCAAGGGGGATACGAGGTACGTACTTGTATTGTCCCTACACACACACACACACCCCAAAATGAGAGAGGCTTTAGATTTTGTGTTTCGTTTTGCTTTGTTTGATGTATTTTTCTTGTTTCTTTGATGCTTTTGGAGTTTCCAGTTTGCCTCAGTATTTATTAAAGGAGATAAATATTATGGAGGCAAGGGAGCCATGAACGTTTGGAATCCTAATGTTGAACAATCCCAAGAATATAGTCTCTCTGCAACTTGGGTGGAAGTGATGCTGATCGTGAAAATATCGAAGTTATTGAAGCTGGTTGGCAGGTATTCTTTATATTTTTAAACTGAAGATTGAAGAAAAATGATTAAATTAATAATAAGAAAATACTGACATATAAAATAAAAATTGTTTTTACTTCTCATGCTTTTGTATGCTTGAATATCTGTTGAAGTTATTATGCACTTATCTATCTAGTTAATTGTCGATTTTTGATTTGGATATTTAGGTGAATCCACAGCTAAATGGGGATAATCACACCAGGCTTTTCACATTTTGAACTGTGAGTTCAGCTTTTCATAACAGCCCTACATGTTTGATTTGTTAGTTCAGATATTTTTCTTAGTCCTTAGAAATTTCTCTCATTTACCTCTGTATATATGACAGAGTGATTCAAGTAAGAACATGGGATGCTATGATCTTCTTTGTTCTGGCTTTGTTCAAGTTTACTCTGCAGTAGCTTCGGGAAGCAGCATCATGCCCTTATCCCTATACGATGACACTAATTCCCAGTATCAAATCACCATCACCATCTGGAAGGTATATCATTTTACATAATGCCAATTATTAATTATTTGTATTAAATAGGAAGCAAGTAATTTTGATATACTCCTCTTGAAAGTCAAGATAAAAAGATACTCTATCCGTTCCCTAATGTATACAGGAGCAGGTTGGAGATTGAATTTGATTCTAAATACAAGACCTCAATTTATTTTGTTTTCCATATTTATTATTTTTCTACAAGCTAATTTACTTATAAACTGATATAGTGTTACACAAGGGTATTTTATGGAGATCATATCATATTTGCTATAATTAATTAATTAATCCAGCTTTCTTAAAATACTCAAATCAGTCAAATAACTCTTATATCAAGGACTAAATGGAATATTATTTTTCCTCAGAATTTTGTAAAATGCCTCACATATTGAAATGTAGAACTTTTCAGAAAGTGCCTTGTATTTGAAACAGAGATAGTAATTAATAATTGTGATAATTAATGAACAGGATAAAGGCAATGGAGAATGGTGGATGTGATATGGCACTGATCAAATTGTGGGATATTGGCCTTCCTCTTTGTTCTCAAGTCTATCAGACAGTGCAACAGTGATAGAGCGGGGAGGTGAAGTAGGAAACTCAGGAACTAATGGACAACACACAACAACACAAATGGGAAGTAGGCATTTTGCAGGGAAAAGCTAGTTATTTCAAGGATATTAAATTTGTTAATGGTAACAACCAAATGGTGACTGCTAATAACGTTGTGTCTTACGCTGACCGTTCCAATTGCTACAATGTACTCCAACCTGGCTATTCTGATAATGTTTGGGGCAGCCACTTCTATTATGGTGGTCCAGGGAGAAACCCTAATTGCCCAGGATCATCTTAGCTTCAATATTGAGATATTTTGATAGATCGTACAAGATGTTGTTATAATCCTCTGGTCCTTAATATAACACCTATTTAACTAGTTTGATTATATTAATAAAGTTAGGTAAGTTAGTTAATTATAAGAAATACTACTATGACATATTTTTCCTAAAACGCCATAATTATCTTCCTTAATATCCTCTTTCCTTTTCTACTTAATTATAGTTGAGGGAGTATTCATAGGGGTAATATAGGAAAAATTGATAAATATGAGAAATAGGTCATATATTTAGGACCAAAATCAATTCAACAATTAGGTCCTATATTAAAGACTAGAGGAGTACTATGTTTGAATATAAATTTAGTATGTATTGTTGGTGATGAATGGTGATGGCAAAGTTGTGAACTCATGCGTTGTCTCAGTTACAGAGTATTTTTCACCCAATATTAATCTCCGAAAAAAGGTTAGAACGCTAGGAAAAGTTAGAATTAGGGTCCGTTTCGATAAAATATACTTTGTGCAATTTTTTTAGTATTAAAAAATGCAAATTGTTGAATCTGTCTAGAATTTTTAGTCTAAAACGTTAAAAAAAAAAAACAACAACATTGGATAAGTAATCAATTAATATAGATATTTTTTTTCCCTCCCCCCCCCCCTCTTATAATGGATATTTTTTTCTTCTTTTAGCAAAGGTAAGGAAAAAGTTTAAATTTTTCATTTTCAAGTTATACTAATAAGAGAAAGAAATCGTAGAATTCAAAAGGCGGTCAATTATTAGGCATTGGATCTCAGGTTAAGAGCCCTGTACACTCATCATTATTTGATATGCAAGAACCAATATCTGTAACATAAAATTTAAATCTCTAAAAGCTTCAATCATAAATAGTATGACTCTTTTTTAAATTTCTGCATTATATTGGTCCACACTAGTTGAAAGGCTAACATATTAAGAAACATAATTAAGAGTGAAAAAGGGAATATAATAAAAATTATACATGTATTTCTTTTTTCCCGGGAAATAAGAAACATGGCCCCATATTATACCAAGCAGGGTAAATGAATCTTATAGATTACAGCATTAATATTTTTCTTTGTCTGTCTTGTTGCCATTGTTACATCCGGATTCAATTTCTCAGGATAATCTTGCCACAAGATCAAGCACAACAAAATAATATCGGATTCTTATAGTACAAATCATCCCATAAATTTCCGTAACATCAAGTTTTGAACATCTACTTGAGCATTTTCATATAGTCGATTGTTTCATATCTCTCATCTTCAATGGCAGCAAAATTAGGAAATGGGAAGACTTGGCCGGCCAATGTGGTGTTGTGCTTCTTCTTGTTGTCTGTACACATGAACGAAGGTCAAGACACAGTCAACAATGGCCAGGAAGCTACTTCTAGTCAGAAGCTTGAGGTTGATAAGCTATTGAGGAAATTGAATAAACCAGCCGTCAAGTCTATAAAGGTATATATAGACAGTATATTCATCTTCACGTTTTTGATCAGCAGGTTATTTTTCCTTGTTTTACTGAAAATTTGAAAATTATTTGAGGATTTTAAAATCTATGATCCTTTGTGTTGAAAATTTATAATATTTGCTAAAACCAGAGTCCTGATGGAGACGTAATCGACTGCGTCTCAATCCTGAAGCAACCAGCTTTTGATCACCCGAAACTCAAAAATCACAAAATTAAGGTGAACCGATTACTTTATTGAGATTCCTCCAACCCTTAATTTGGCTTCTTATTAATCAGAATATTCTGAAGCCGACTCATCATTTTTCATTTGATTGAAGATGAGGTCAACTTTCCGACCTGAAGTAAAGATAGAAAGCAAAATGTCTTCAAAGTCAAAGCCAATTGTTCAGCCATGGCACCAAGTTGGAAGTTGCCCAAATAGAACCATTCCTATAAGAAGAACAAGAAAGGAGGACATCCTGAGGGCAAGCTCTATCCAACAATTTGGGAAGAATCTCAAAACTGTCCCTCTTCGTTCATATGTTGCTGGTGAAGGTAGCCATGAGGTACTTATGTTGTCCCTCACTCTACATACATAAACAAGCTTTTTACGTTTTGTTTAGCTTATCAATATATATATATATATATATATATATATAGAGCCCAAATCCACATATCTACGAAATTTGGTGTAAGTCACCAACAAAATTTGCTTTAGTTGGTAATTAAGAACTTGCCTTATATCACACGGATATAACATGTATGTGCGAGTATTCTTTGAGCCCACACTGTAGAATTGTGAATATTTGTGAATTCGGTCCTTAAGAATAATTCTTCCTATTTATTAATGTTACTTCCTATCGATCTCATTCTCCATTTCGCTATTGGCCAATTAGGTGTACCCACAACTATATGGGGATAACGCGACCAGTCTGTTCACCTACTGGACTGTGAGCTCAAGTTCCTTAGCAATCACACGCGCGCACACATTCTTGCAATCATTTTCTTTTTGTCATTTTGATTCTCAATTTTTTTTAATATATGACACTGACAGGGTGATTCATATAAAACACCGGATGTTATGACCTTCTTTGTTCTGGGTTTGTTCAACTTGACGCTGGAATAGCTGTGGGAAGTCGCATCACACCGTTATCTGTCTATGGTGACGCTAATTCCCAATATGGCATCACCATCATGATCTGGAAGGTACTTTTTGATTAGATTACTTAATTGGGACAGCACTATGATTTTTCAAAGTAATATAACTCAGTCTTTTTTGTAAACGGTAGCTAAACCACTATTTATACTTGTAGATCATCAAATCAGCATGTGTGAAGATGTCTTGTTTTGTTTGAAAATTGAGATATATATATTTGATTGTATTAATGAGCGGGTTCCCATTCGGTGCTCATCAGGTGATGAGCACCCAATGCTCATCACCTGATGAGCAATCTGGACCGTCCAGATTTAATATTATTAAATAATTATTTTAAAATAGAAAAAGTTATATTTTTAAAGAATGATAGTTAAGATATTATCTTTATTTTTTATCCTATACCTATTAAAATAATTATTTTTAAAAAATAAAAGTAAAAATAAAAATAAATCTGGACCGTCCAGATCAGATCTGGAGGGTCCAGATCTGATGAGCATTGGGTGCTCATCAGTTTTGATGAGCACCCAATGTAAATCCGCACAGGACAACGCAAATGGGAAGTGGCCATTTTCCTTCAGAAAGTCAAGGGAAAGCTGGCTACTTCATCAACATTAAATATATTAATGGCCAAAACCAACTCGTGCCTGCTGGTAACTTGGTCCCTTACGTTGATCATCCCAATTGCTATGATCTCCGAACTGATCATAATGATGATTGGGGCAACTTCTTCTTTTATGGCGGACCTGGAAGAAACCCTAATTGCCCATGATCGATCCCTTTGTCCTCAATTAATATTATCTTGTATGTTTATATTAGTATGTTATCTTTCCTCCACTACAATTCTAAAATAAGGATGGATGTGAAAACAGACATATGCGTCCTGAATATGTTTTCATTTGAACTTTCTAAAAGCTGAACTTTATAAGAGCTTTGTAACATACTACCTCCGGTTCTTAATATAAGACCTCATTTGATTTTTATTTTGGTCTTAAATATAAAACTCCAATCCAATTTGTCTCTCATGTTTATTTATTTTTTCTCAATATAGTCCGTCTAATAATAGTAGTTCTAACCAATAAACTTGATTAGCAAGAATATTTTAGGAAAGACAACGCCTATTTATTACAAATAACTAACTTAACTTATTTTCTTAATATATTTTAATTAATCAACCAGCTCTTACATTTAAGACTAGAGGTAGTATATTATTATAAATTTTTCATATTTTTGTTTTGAATTAAAAGCTAAGGATAGGCACTAACTGCATGAGATTATAACTGAGATTAATCCTACAATCTCTCACTTACAAGGGGAGTTATTTGAATTTGCATCTTAAATAGAATAGATATGTCAAAATATAAACGGATATTCATTTAACTCACCTCAATTAGTTTGGCGAATTGAAAATTGAAACTTGACTCTTTAATTTAGAGGATCAGAATGAGGCAGCCCACCTAAATTACCAAAAAATTTAAAAACTTAAAAAAATAATATATCTTTAAACATTTAACATTCATTAATTTTTTTCTATTGACATCATTCTTTTTTTTTTTTTTGCTACGCATATTGGAGGCAATTCTATTTGAAGCATCGTCGGGTACTAAATGTCAACACCTCTCCCAATAGGGATTATTTTTGTTGCAATAGGGAAAGTTCATTAATATTTTTATATATTTTATGGTAATGATTAAAAAAGATTTGCTTGAACATTTTAGGCAACAACAAGCTCAAGATTTGCTTAAAATGTTTTTCAATTTGAGCGTGTGGCTGCTCATACAGTAGTTTTGATGATGGTGTATGTAGAAAATGAGATTTGATTTGATTTTATATTTTGAAATTTGTTTACAGGTTTTTTATTTGATTTTGTATATTTACGATATTTTTATAGATTTGATTTGGCTTTGTATCTTTGAAATTTGATTTCGTATATTATCTTTAATCAGATTCTGATTTTTTCCTCAAAAAAGAGAAAAGTTAACCCTTAAATAATAAGCATTAACTTTCACCTCTTTTTAATTTTATTAGTGCCTGTTAAGTTATACTCCCTCCAGTTCAAAATATAAGCTAAACTTTATCCATTACGTTTCTCAAGAAACTAATTAAAATCAATTTAAAACAATAAATGTGTAAGGTATATATTTGTTTTTCCTAATATACCCTTGTTAATGAAGAGAATAAGTAAAAGATGTAATAAATGAATTAAAGAGGAAAGAGAATATATGGGGGTAAAATTGAAAAAAAAAAACTCATTAAATGCTTGGACCAAAGTGAATGTTATCTTATAAAAAAACCAACCCCTTTAAGAAAGTTTAGCTTATATTTTGAACCAGAGGAAGTAACAAGTATAACTCATATATATATACATACTCCTCCGGTCCTAAATATAAGACCCCTTTTGTAGTGTAAATTACACTATAAAAGGCGTCTTATATTTAGAACTGGAGGAGTGTGCGTTTGTGTATGCTATCAAGTTGCAACACCTCACTTTTATATATTAATAGGATCATTTTAACGTCTGTGAATTACTAACGCCAGGTTTCTGTCCTGGGAAAAGACAGGGAATTTTTTTTTTCTTTAACATTGGAATCCGTTGATCAAATATTTCAACCCTTCAGATAACTGTTGAGTGATCCAATATCAACTCTGCTTTCAACTTAATCTATTATCACCTAAAATAATTTCATACTATACAATCTTATAATATTATATTAAAAATAAAGCAACGCTCTTGGTTTACAGCAATACGTGCACCTGGCAATGCTCAGTTCCTTCTTCTAGAGGATACAAAATAATATTTCCATAGAGCAAGTAAAGTTACTTGCCCATATATTTTGCTATACAATTTATAGAATTATAACAGGTATCTCTGCTCTTCAACCAGCCCACCTTCTTCTTAAACAACCTCCTTGTCCTTCGGGCTACTAGCTTTCACTGTTCATCATAAATTGGAGGGTGAGATTCGAACGAATCCCCGTAGTAGTAATTTTCATCAAACACATATGCAGATCACATAAAGCATGCAAAACAAGCCAAAGTGAAACATAACCTTGCAAGCTAATGCAATTAAGCATTTATGCGCAATGACAGATAGACAAGCTGAATAAATAATGCGCAAATACTTGGCAATCACTGCCCCATGTCTATTAGACAAGCTGAATGTAACATCCCGAATTTTCTGACTCAGGATGAGTAGAAAAGAGAAAGTTCATTAAAGTTATTTAATAGCTCAATCACAATTGGGGAAAATTATGGAATATTGATTTTTCAAGGTTTAGAGACATTTTGGAAAAGGTATTTCCCCAAAAATGGCTTAAATAATTTTAATGGATAATTTTAAGAGAAAAATAGTTTATTTTCTCTGAAAATTATGGAAAATAGTTATGAGTTAATTTTTGACCCAAAATTTTTAGAGAAATTAGTTTATGGGTAAAAGAAGCTAATGGAAAGAAAGATCCATATAAAACATGGTGGAATAATTTCTGGGTTTATCCCATTATTTCAGAATTATAGTGGAAGGATGAAATTGAAAGAAAATAGAGTAAAAGGGCAAAATGGGCATTTTATTTCTACCCACGCTTACTTCACACGCATGCCACTTCCTTTACATCATCAGATCATTCTCACCATCTTCATTTCACTTCCGCGACGCTGAGAGAGCACGAGAAAGGAAGAGACCGAGAGCAACACGGAGGCGACGGAGGTGGGTGATCGGAGGAGGTGAAGTTACATGCAAGACTGATTTTCGGTTAAGGTAAGTCTGGTTATCACTCTCCTACCTTTCTTTTCTCCATTCTCTGCGTGATTGGAGAGTTGATGAAGGATGAAATTTTCGGCTATGAAGAAATGGGCCGAAACCAAATGAAATAATGATAGGAGCAAGTAGATTAAAGCTGGCATAAGTGAGTTTAAATGTTGCACGTTGATAAATCTGGTTGCATGTGGATTTCTTCCTCTGTTTTCCAAGACCGAAACAGGGTTTAAAGGTTCGGGAGAGTGGCGTTTTGTTTGGGTGCTGGCCGCTGGTTTAAAGTGAAGTTTTGCTGTTGAATGAATAAAAATTACTCTGTTTATGATTACCGAAACAAGGGTGAGGATTTAAGGAAATCCATATAAGTATGGAGATGCTACCGTATGTGGTTTGGTTCTGTCATATGATGATTTTCTTCTTTTGAAACTAAAGTTTGTTGATGGCCTTGGGGCCTTTGAATTCTGGAGAATGAAGTGTACATATGGATACATATATGTATATATATATATGGGTTTGAGTAAGGCTCACTCCTCTATCCTAGTTAACCGTGTTGTTGGAAGAATGTTAGTGGGATGTCTTGTTCTGCTTGTAGTTACCGAAAACAGGGACCGTAGTTGCTGCTATAATGCTGTCGGGTTTATGCGTCAATGAAGGATTGATAATATAAACATATATATGCTGGACTTTTACGGGTTAGCTTGTTGGTGCTCATAAACACTAAAACCGTAGGAGTTAACTAGTGATACTTTAAATGTGAAGTAATGGTTATAAACTAATAACAAGTGCAAAGTATTCAAGGATTGGATGGTTAGGCTTAAAATTTAGTGAGGTTGCTATTGAAGGGCAGGAAAATAATTTTAAGTTGGTTCTATACCCACATAGATATATAGATATATATGCCGTTTGAGGTGGATCTAGAAGGGTGATTAATCCTATTAAATATGTGAGAGTGAATCTGGAAAATTTCCAGATTTGTTGCTAAGTAATGTTTAAGGAATATAGTCAGTGAATAATAAAATAATGGATTGTTAAGTTGGAATTTGGTACTATGGGTTGCGAACTGAAGGCTTGAGCATGGGGTTTTGAATGGAGGACACAAAGTTGTCCTTAAATTATAATAAATAAAAATAATATTTTTGACTAAGATGACTAGTTACTAAATAAAGTAACTATGTGGGTTGAGATAAGAAAGGAAGCCTTCCCAAGAGAATAGTTGAATAAG